ATCCTTGAGGGCTGCAACCTCTTGTCTCAGTGTTTCAAAATCTTTGATCATTTTATCTTTGAAATCATTGAGTTCTTGAGACATCTTTTGAATAATTTCTTGAGATATCTTTTGAATAATTTCTTGAGACATCTTTTGAATAATTTCTTGAGAAATGTTTTGAATACTTTCTTGAGATATCTTTTGAATAATTTCTTGAACTTCTACTTCCTTCTTTCCTTCCATTCTGTTAATCTTATTTGCTATCCACATTCTGAACTCGATTTCTGACATCTCAGCCATTTGCTTGTGGATGAGGTCTTCAATTACGTCTGCCCCATTTTTCCTTGGGGGAGTTGATCTACTCTGGTTGTTTGAGTTGCCAGAGTTTTTTCACTGATTCTGCCCCATTCTGAGTTTACCCTGTTTGGAGGCCTTATCAGAACTAGTGGCTTCTTCTGGTTGCCCAGAGAGAAAGGCAGAGCGTGTCTACTGTCTACTCCCAGTTCTTGGGTGCCGGGGCAACTGGGGTGCAGTGGAATGGCAGCAGCTGCATGGGAGTGTGCGTGGCCGGATTAGACCTCGTTCAGCCTGCTGGGGCGACCATGGGACAGGAGACCGGCAGTAGTCCGATCAGTCCTAGTTCAGCACCTTGCAGCAGCCAGGGGGTGGGGAAAATGGCAGCGGTAGTGTAGAGTATGTGAGTGACGAGATCAGTTTGAGTTCGGCCCCATCAGAGTAGCTGGAGGGGAGCGCAGGACTCCTTCACTGTCGCCTGTTGGACGTGTGTGGCACTAGCAAGCCGATCTATGCCCTCCCAGCGTGGGAGCCCAGAGTGGGGAGCTCCTCCACCTCCGTGTGTGGGACGCATGTGGCTCTAACAAACAGTTCTGGGCCCGCCCAGAGTGCTAGACTCCTCCACTGCCTCCTGCAGGGTGCGCGTGGCTCTAGTAAGCAGTTCTGGGCCCACCCAGCACAGGTGCCTTCAGTGGGGAACTCTTCTGCTGGTCCCTGTGGGGTGTGCCTGTCTCTAGAAAGCTGTTTTGGGTCTGCCTGGAATGGAGGACTCCTCCGCCACTGCCCACGGGACACCCATGGCACTAGCAAGCAATTCTGGGCCCACCCAGAGCCCTGGAGTGGGGATGTCCTCTGCCGCCCGTGGGGTGCGCAGCTCTAGCAAGCAGTTCTGGGTCCTCCCAGAGTGGGGGACTCCTCTGCCACTGCCCGCGGGGTGTGCAAGGCTCTAGCGAGTAGTTCTGTGCCTGCCCGAAGCAGGGGAAGTCCTTTACGGTCACCCACTGCCCGCAGGAGGCATGAGCCTCTAGCAAGCAGTTCTGGGTCCTCTCAGAGTGGGTGACTTGTCTCCCGTCACCTGCAGGGGTGCACAAGGCTCTAGCAAGTAGTTCTGTGCCTGCCTGCAGCAGGGGAAGTCCTCTGCAGCCCCCCGCCACCCACAGGAGGTTTGCGGCTCTAGCAAGCTATTCTGCACCTCCCCCAGAGCCCTGGAGCAGGGATCTACTCTGCTGTCCGTGGGGTGCGCGGCTCTAGGAAGCAGTTCTGGGCCCTCCCATAATGGGGGACTTGTCCACTGCCACCTGCGGGAGTGTGCAAGGCTCTAGCAAGTGGTTCTGTGGCTGCCTGGAGCAGGGGAAGTCCTCTGTGGCCACCCGCAGCCCTCAGGAGGTGTGCGGCTCTAGCATGCAGTTCTGCGCCCACCCAGAGCCCGGGAGCAGGGATGTACTCTGCCGTCCGTGGGGCACACGGCTCTAGCAAGCTGTTCTGGGTCTTCCCAGAGTGGGGGACTCACTTGGTTCTGCGCCTGCCCAGAGCAGGGGAAGTCCTCTGTGGCCCCTGACCACCCGCAGGAGGTGTGCGGCTCTAGCATGCAGTTCTGTGCCCACCCAGAACCCTGGAGCAGGGATCTACTCTGCCACCCGTGGTGTGCACAGCTCTAGCAAGCAGTTCTGGGTCTTCCCAGAGTGGGGGACTTGTCTGCCGCCACCTGTGGGGGTGTGCAAGGCTCTAGCAAGTGGTTCTGTGGCTGCCTGGAGCAGGGGAAGTCCTCTGCAGCCACCCGCAGCCCTTAGAAGGTGTGCGGCTCTAGCATGCAGTTCTGCGCCTGCCCAGAGCCCTGGAGCAGGGATGTACTCTGCCGTCTGTGGGGCGCGCGGCTCTAGCAAGCAGTTCTGGGCCCTCCCAGAGTGGGGGACTCATCCGCCGCCACCCACGGGGGTGCGCAAGGCTCTAGCAAGTACTTCTGTGGCTGCCTGGAGCAGGGGAACTCCTCTCGGGCCACCCGTCACCTGCTGGAGGCTTGCGGCTCTAGCAAGCAGTTCTGGACCTGTGCAGAGCCCTGGAGCGGGGGTCTCCTCTGCCACCTGTGGGGCGCACAGCTCTAGCAAGCAGTTCTGGGTCCTCCCAGAGTGTGGGACTCATCTGCCACCACCCGCGGGGGTGTCCAAGGCTCTACCAGGTTGTTCTGTGCCTTCCTGGTGCAGGGGCTTCTCTGAGGCCACCTGCCACCCGCGGGAGGTGGGCAGCTCTAGCAAGCAGTTCTGGGGCCGGCTTTGTACCTGTATTTTGTGTTCTTAAATGATCTTCCTTGGATTTACAGCTTGCCGAACTTCTTTCTGGGTTCAGCTCCCCATCGTTGGCTTCATAGATTCTGATTCCAAGCAGTTTTTCTTCCTTTGCTCAGGAGCCTCTGACTAGGGTTGCTACCAGTCGGCCATCTTCCCAGAATCCAGAGTGCTGTAGTGTCATAGCTCATAGCAACCTCAAACTCCTGGGCTTGACCAATCTTCTTGCCTCAACCTCCTACGTAGCTGGGATTACAGGCATATGTCACTATGCCCAGCTAACGTAGACACGGGGTCTTGCTCTTGCTCAGGGTGGTCTCAAACTCCTGATCTCAAGCAACTTGCCCACCTTGGCCTCCCAGAGTGCTAAGTGGCATGAGCCACTGTGCCCAGCCAAGTATGTGAATATTCTTCCTAATCTCTGCTAAAGACTTGCTGTCATTTCCAGAGTTACTATACCCTGGGGTAAAGGAAATGCCCAGAGATTTGGGAAATCAATTGCCTGCTGGATCCCATCTAAGAGGAGCCTTGTAAGTATCAGAGCTGAGATGCGAGCTCAGGTCTAATTTAAAAACCAGTATTTTCCTGATGATAATAAGTATCTAGGCACTTATTATCTAGATAATAATTACCTAGCAGACATCTGAACTTCACTTCAGCCCTTCTAAATCAGAAATGCCAGGGAAGGGTACTGGTAATTTATTTATTTATTTATTTTTTAAGCAAGAACTCCAGGTGATTCTTAATAACACACATGTTTGGGAGACGTCTGGTTCCTTTTGGGAACTAGAAGGTCATAAAAGGGTCAAGAAACCAACCAGTATGTACTTCCACCCTCCAGCCAGTGATAATGGCTTTTCTTCCTTACCATTCTTAGAGTGACTCTCTTTTGGTTGTTAATGGCTCCAATAGGCAGCCTTTTCCAGCTCTGGGGAAGAGGATGGGGTAGTAATTAGTACTAGAGAGTAGCTCACAGCTTAATTGAAGATGGTCTAAAAGCATACTGGCTGATGGAGGGTGGGTATATATCACTACCATATATGCCATTATTTTAGGGAGAGACCGCAACTCTATTTCTTTTCTTTTCTTTTTTTTTTTTTAGAGACTGAGTTTCACTTTGTAGCCCTTGGTAGAGTGCCATGGCATCACAGCTCACTGCAACCTCCAACTCTTGGGCCTAGGCAACTCTCTTGCCTCAGCCCCCAGAGCAGCTAGCTGGGACTACAAGCACCCACCACAATGCCCAGCCATTTCTTGTTGCAGTTTGGCTGGGGTCAGGTTTGAACCCACCACCCTCTGTATATGGGACTGGTGCCCTACGCACTGAGCCACAGGCACTGCCCGAAACTCTATTTCTTTTGCTCAGGCTGTGATAGTCCTTTTTCAAAAAGAGGTAATAACCCAAGAAATAATTTAACATTATTGAACCATCCAGAACTTCACCCTGAACTCTCATATGTTTCACTAACTAATGAATGTGGTATTTTGATAATAGATTGAAGAAATACGGTAAGCTACAAATTCATCTTGAAATACATAAAACATCAAGAAGTAAAGAATCCCTCCCTTACTAAAATCACTTTAAAATACAGCGTTTAGTTTTTACATATGCTAGAGAAAGTATAACACTTTTTCAAATGTATTTTTCAATGTATTTTATTGGCAGTCCCAAAGTTCTTGTTCTTTCCGTGGGACATTGTATAAGCTTCCCAACAATCCCAGGACTCTTTTAAATCCTCTCTTGGGTGTTGCATCAAAGAACTCTTTTCTTAGTAATTCTTAGCTAAGTGATTACAGTTTTTAGGGCTATTGGTCTTTCAACTAAATAGTCACTTCCTATCAGAAATGGCAGAAGAAATAAAGAACTGTTTAATGAAAAGATCAAGTGCTTGACAGTCCTTCAGAGAAAAGCAATTTGGGCCTTTTGAAGGTTGATGTTTCAAGTGGAGACAATATCCAGGAGATACTGCTTATTACAATTACATCAAATGTGATCATTTATAAGACATTTGGGGCCTGAGTTTAACCAGTCAAAAGTCATTGCCAAATTTCTGCCAAACTCCACTTTTTTGAACTCAGGTGAGAGAGGATGGAGCAATGAAGAAATCCTGGGAATTTGTGTATCATTGCACACAAAATATTATGGACTAAAGGTTTAAGTATAGGAAGTCTGGTATCTTCACAGGGATCCAGCAGGTTAGATATAAACTTAGCTTTGGATTGAGGCCTATGCCAAACATAGCATAGGTAGGCCATTGCCTGTTAGAATCTGGAATCTGTTAGAGGCAGTGTCATTATGTGGTCACAGGCGTAGGGCTGTGTTGACTGGGGGCTAATTCTACTCCTAACCAATCCTGTGACAGGAAGAGGATGGCAACATGAGCAATGCTGGTGAGTCTGGGAGAGATGCCTTCAAGGCTTTGAGTCCCTTGAATAGAGCAAACCACTCACCTTCCCTCTCTTGAATAGGTCTGAGTCAGGCAGGAGCACCATGTGGGACTTTCTTTCCTGTTTTTTGTGCCCTTTGTTTTCCATCTCTCTTTCTTCCCCTTCTTCCTGCCTTCTGCCACAAGATCTTTAAGAATAGGACAGGACATTATTAATAAGACAACCAAGGCAAGAGGGAGGAAGTAAAATGTAGATCAGACCATCATATGCCTTACCTCCTCCAGGGAGGAGGAAGATATGGGATTTGAGATTATCCAGTGACTTCTCTTGTTGCCAGTATTTTTATGGTGTGGAGTGAGTGCTGAAAGTCTCCCCAGATTACTAGGAAGTTTGAGGGTAGAACAGGTAAGAGTGGACAAACAGGAATGGAGAATCGGTAGGATGGGGAAGGGAGGAAGAATAGAACCTTGTTTCTATACTTCATTAGGACTTTTGTGTCAGTGGAAGTCCTATCATAGGCAAGCTGGTAGCCACCAACAGTGTGTGTAGCTATGGGAAACAATTACTTGGGAAATTTCTGTCAAACTCCACTTTTTTTAACTCAGATGGTCTCAGTAATATTCTCATTCAGCAAATCCATGTTAGACTCTATGAATGACAATCAAACAAACAAATGATTGAAGATCATCTCTTGAAAGGATAATTCATTCAACATTTACAGAACTTAGACATTGTGTAAACATATTTACAGCCTAGAAAGATGTAAAACACAAAGTCCACCCTCTCACAAAGCTCAGTCTGGTGAGGAAGGCAGCCACATCAATGGATGAAAGCAATTGCCCTTATTAATTGTAATAATAGCACAAGAGGCATGTAGGTACATGGTGGTGCAGGGAGGTAGCGATAAATTGTACCATTGTGGCAGATTCTATGGTTACAGCCTGACAAGAACTTTCTCTTGCTGTCTGGTGGACCAGAGAGCAAGCGGTGACAGCAGCTCTGTTACCCAAAATAGTGTTTGACTGTGTTTCTCTTTCTGTTTCTGGTATATGAAGTCAATAACTACCTGGTATCATCAGAAAAAGTAATGGAGGTGATAGCTTAGTTTTCCTATGTTATAAGTGTACTTTAGTGATGATGAGTGGCACTTACTATGCTTATCAGATGCTTAATGAGACTGAGAGGTGGGTCTAGTGTTTACAGTGTTCAGACCCATTTTACAGTCTTTTGTTGTGAGCTTCAGGTATGATGGAGAAATGCTGGGTCATTGTTAAAACAATTCACTTATTATTCACTAGTTGAATATGGTGCTTTAAAGAGCCAGGCTAGTGAATTAAGGTAAATTTAAGGAGTTCCTAGTTCATCTGGGGTCTCTACCCTTGCCTTTATGTCATTCAACAGTTATTTCCTTGATTAACTCGGGCAGCACAATGATCAAACCTCGAACAATAAATTAATACATTGCACGACCAAGTCAACATTCAAAAAGCTCTTGTCAGGATGTGATGTTGGACCCATACTAACAAATTAAAATTTGACGGGAATAAATGTAAATTCCTGCTTTTGGTTTCTGAAAAGCGACTGCCTAAATAAAGCAAGGTGGGGTAACAATGGGAAGCCCTAACGCTAAGCTCGTTTCAGGCCACACTGATAGAAGATGCCAGGTAGGCAATGGTTCACTCATGCTCTGCCCTGGGGAGCAGGTGGGGCGCTGCAGGTGGGGCACTGCAGCTGGGGTTGTCTCTCCAACCAGTGAGAGAGGAGCCAGGTGGAAAGGATGCTATATGAGGACCGGTGTCAAGAATCACTTAGGGACTAGCCAGAGGGGTCAGAGGTAGGCACAAGGTTGTGCTGTCTTCATAGATACTGGAAGCACTGTCCCTTTTAAGAGGACTTAGGTGAATTCTGTTAAGTGTCAGAGGGTGGAATTTCTACCATCAGAGAGAAGGTAAAGGAATTCACAGTAGGTAAAAACTAACCATTTCGTCTCTTCATGAATGGAATGGGCAGCCCTGTGAAGCAGCAAGGTCCTCACAGCTGAGAGTGTTTAAGTAGAATGATATTAACAAAAAGAGGCCTAGAGAAGGGAGGAAATTGAGGTAGATAACCCTAAAGGCTGCCATAATGCTGAGCTTAGGCTGTGTGGAATGATCTAGTCAATGGCTTCATTTTCTCAGCCTGAGTACAATCCTGGTTCATGTTTCCTTTTTCTCTCCATGTAGAGATAATTGCTTCTACTAATCTTATAATTCTGCTAGAGGATGAAGTGTTTGCTGACTTTTTCAACACATTTCTTTCTCTTCCGGTAAGCATTCTCAGACTTAAATCCAATTATTTCATTAACAGCTGAGTAGAAAATCTCCCTGAGTTGAGTGTCTTTGTTTTTATTTCTTATTTTGATTTTTACTAAGCTTCTACTCAAATCAAAAACTTTCAATTTGAGCAAATAAATATGAACCAGAGCCACCTATAAATCTCCAGGAGCTTCCCACTGGTGATATAATAAAATCCTAAATCCCAGCCTCTTCAATTGCCTCTGCCTGTTCCATCTATCACGTCCTCTGCTGATACCCAGAGCTCTAGTGATGGGAGCTCTATCCTCACTGAGTACAGCTGGCATTCCCCCCACCTCTGAACCTCTCCATGCCCCTCCACCACCCCCCCCACCTGGAGTGCCTTTCTCATAGTTCCACTTACTAAAGTGTTAACCATTCTTCAAATCTCTACTTAAATTCTCTTCTCCTCAAGGAATTCTTAGATCCTCACAATTAGTCTCCTGACTGGAACTTCTCCCTGCCTCTGTGCCCCTTGGAACTTTGGACCTTTCTTGTGTTATATGCATGTGTGTATGTTCACGTGTGTGTCTGCCCCTGGTGGATCCTTAGACTATGAATTCCTGTAGGACAAGGACCAAGGGTAATTTGTTTTAGTCTATTCCCTCTACCAGGTAGTTTAGCATGTAACAATTGTTGAATTGTTGACTGGATCAAAAACTATGTATTTCCTCAAGTTATACAACTAAAATAAACATCAAACATCAAAATATTGACTAGATATAGTATAGTCTTACACTACCATTAAACCTATACTACCTGCATAATTTTTGGTTATTTAAAACAAAGATTTCTTTGGTGACTTTTTTTTTCTTTTTTGAGGCAAGAGTTTCATTTGTTGCCTTCAGTAGAGTGCCATGGCATCATACCTCACAGCAACCTCAAACTTTTGGACTAAAGTGATCCTCTTCCCTCAGCCTCCCTAGTAGCTGGGTCTACAGGTGCCCACCAAAACACCTGGAAAATTTTCAGAGATGGTGCTTTGTTCTTACTCAGGCTAGTCTTGAATTTCTGAACTCAGGTGATCCACCTACCTTGGCTCCCAGAGTGCTAGGTAATCCCAGACATCTTTGGTGACATTGTAATGCTGATGCCATAAAAATTGTGGTTCCTCTCAATGCACACTCCTATGGATGTTACCTATGAAAAGGTGAAATTTCAGATAAGTGGGGAAAAAACACTCTGTGCCATCCCACAGATAGTTACTGGGTATTACCTTGTGTCTCTGGGCTTTGTGCGGGAAACACACAACTAATGATGCCATCTTTGGCCTCAAGGAAGTCCCAGTCTAATGTGAGAGAGTGGCACATGTATTTAAGGTATGAATGATAGGATAGAACTTTCTAGAAAGTAGGGGGGATAGTACACAGGAGGGAGAGGGCACTTCTACCTGGAAGAGTCAGGAAGGGTTTACATGAACCAAGTCTTCAAAGTGGAGTAGGGATTTGACAATTAACTGGGAGATGAAGATGAG